TTATTATGCAAATTAATATAAAACTAACTTAAAATTAAAGTAAAATCTGTTTATTTTTGGTCACGTGTTCCCCTTCCCTATTTACTGTGTTAAAATGACCTTGTTTAAAATTAAATCTGATTAAATATTTTTTGAACACCATTAATGCCTGCCAGTAAAAGTCAGCAAAATGTATCAAAATATTTATTTAATGTAAATATAGAAAAAAAGATTATAAAATGATTTTTGCCTATTATTATATGCATATTATTAATATTAAATTTCATATTTATGGAACAAAAGCATATTAGACATAAGGTGTTTCATATTCATCTAGATACTCGTCAATAGAACTTACTAGGACTCCATAAAAAATAATGAAGTTATTATGTATATGTATATGTATAAATCCTAAAATTTTGAGATATTTTTAAAGTTTTCTTGTATCTTAAAAAATATTATGACAATGAAATACTTCAAAAAATATGAAAACTGTACACAAATTACATTGTGAATGAAATACTAAACTTTTATAAAGTAAAAATATTTTATGAAAAAACATAAGTCAAATCATCCCAAAATCTTAGGACCCTTTTTTGCATGCACAGCAGCTTACATGAAAATTTTAGTTCAAGAATAGCAGTTAGTTGCAAACATGTGTACTTTGTCAAATTTATAAAACTTAAAAAATTCCTGGGATTTGAATTCATTTTTCCTGGGAATCAATCCTCAGAATTTGGCCAGGATTTTCAAGAATTCCTATACCAGAAACAGTAGTGTATACTAGCAAAACCTACACAAATATACTAGTGTATAATGTATATGTATGTAAGTTTAGTTTCTGTTTACTAAAACTAAGACTATACATATATAATAATATATTGCTATATATGTAAAGAAAGATTGAACATGAACATAAACAAGCATAAAAACATTGCATAACAAAGATAAAATTAGTAAAAATAAAAAGTATTAACATGAATGATTTTCCAGAATAAAGTTAACAAAATGTCATTAATGGTGTCACCACTCATTGATTAATAGGCAAAAAATCAGTTATATCAACATTTGTCTATACAATAACTATATATTTAGAAAGCCTAATTTGCACAAATATTTTTGCAAATGATAGTAAAAATTACCATCATCTTTAAATAAATCAGAAGATTCATCAAAATTTTAGAAGCCATTCACTAATTTTCACTAGTGTGTTGATTTCCTTTCAGAGTCATTTGCCCTCATTCATTTTCTGAGTCAAAATTGTATATGTCAAGGTTTTATTGAAACTTAAGTAAATACTTTAGAGTCAATCTTGATTATATTAATGTGATGTAGTTCTGAACTGCAAATAAAATTTCTGAAAATGTTTAACAAATAAATTTGTTTAAGACTATACACTGTTTATTTTAATAGTAACAGCAAAGAAATAACACCATATATATTGACTGCATAAATTTATCAAAATCTAGGAAATACATTAACAGTATTGCTTTTAGCAATAAATGCAGATAAAAACTAATCATTATGTCTGTATGAAGTTTCAAAAAAAAATAACAAATATATCAGCTCTTGTTTCATTTGTGCAGTACTTATTATCTAGATATAAATTAAATAGTGAGAGAAATTTTTACCAATTTTGCAACTTTCTGGTTCTTTAGGAAATACAAGAAGATCTCGAGCATAAACTGGATGTCCAGAAGGATTATAAGAGCGTATTTTACAATGTGGAAGAGGCCTGTAAAAAAACAGAAATATAATTAAATTAATTTCATATACAGTGCCATTCCATTAACCTGGCATTGTTGGGACTGATAGAGTGCTGGGTTATCAAATTTGCTGTCTTATTGGATGATGGAAATTTTTCCATGTTTTTATCCTCTTGACAGAATTTTATATATCTTCATGTATAAAACTGTACAAATCTGCCTTTTATGATTGTTTAATATCACCATATCAATTTTTTCCAGGCTATCCCTACTCTTGGTTGACTTGAAACAAGAACACACTATTCTTACTTTGTGCTTTGTACATTTTTATTGTGTATAAATAGAAACAAACTATTTCTGTGATAATTATTGATTCAAACTGTGCTAAATATTTCTGCCTCTCATATTGAACTGTGTATTATTGTCTTTGAAAAAGTCTTTAAAAAAATCATACACAAGCTAACTGGTTTTACCTAGCACAGCATCTTGTCATTTGTCATCTCTAAAAGGAGAACCCACATCTCTTACCAAGAACTGCATGCTTTGAGCACTTTTTACAAGAAAATCTTAACTCTGGACCTACCCATTGCACTGATAACCCCTAACAATGAGCTTGACATGCCAGCTTATTAGGTTTGCTGGCATATCGGATACAGGGTTAACAGAATTTTGTTGTATATGTATTATTTAATTAACATCACATCATGTCTTGTTACTGTTTTACTGATAAAAAAGAAACTTACTTTCCCCATTCAGGAAGGTTTTTTTTATATATTGAATCTAGAGGTAATACTTGTTGCTGTCCATTTGTGCGAGTATGCAGTTCTCGAGCCTGAAATATATAGAATTTAATGAAAATTTAATATTATAAAATCTTCACTTAACTCATTAGAAAAAGTCAAACAATTAATATTTACTTCTTTTAAAGTTAAATGAAAATTATTATTATTAATAGATTTAAGAAATTAAAAATAATAAANTTTTTGGCACGAAACTAGACATGTTTAACACAATGAAAAAATAAGTTGTTTACACTTCGGTGAAATGATATATACTGAATTTCAAGGTCGCTTATTGTACTTCCTTACAGATGTGTCACCATCTAAAAATAAACACACGTGGTTCTGGTAACGCCATTTGTTAAAGAACAGCGAGAACTTATTCAAGGTCCTTATACAATTAACAATAATTTTACAATACTTCAGTCAGATTTACTTTGTTTAACATCTTTGTTTAAATCCTACAACTTGTGATTTAATCTCAAAAAATCAGCTATTATGCTATTGTGTCTTTCTTCAGTATCCAGAGTTTTTGATAGTCAACATTTGCATTTCTTATATTGATTCAGTAAAATAAATTATTGAGTTAGGTGTTTTTAAAATAGTAACCAGAATTCAGCAATCATCCATTTCAGTAAAATAATCTTGATGTTTTATTTTGACAGCAAATTAATATACAAACACCTCATAGAAAAATAATAAAAGGTTTAACTATTAGACACAGAACAAAGTGACTATTTTGTAGATCAATTTCATTAAAAAATTTTCTTTGTAAACTTCCAATTTCTAATAAATTATCGTTTACTGGTATAATGCATTGCTGCTCCATCATAGTTAAACCATATTATTATTGAACTGCACAAAGTATACTTACTATTCAATAAATTGGGTAATTTGCCTTACACAAATTCTGCTGAGATAACCTATATCAAATTAGGATTTTCTGATTTCTTTGAATATATAATGTATTTTGATAGTATTCTCTTTTTTAAAATTTTTTAACTGTATTGTACCATCTAATGGGGTGGGTCTTCATGTTTCCTTTCATAATACCCTTAACACTTCATGTATATACATTCAAAAAGCATCAATTATGCATAATGCAATGCTTCTTTTTTATTTGTACTACTCACTCAATAACATTTACTGAGTGAGCTGAAGAATGTACTCTATATGAATTTTGCAACTTTTAAGTACCTTTGTAAAAAGAGATTGTACAGTTTTTAAGTTATATATGCCTTTTTGCTAATACTCTTAACGTCTTAACTTTTTACGTATACATATTTTTTCTTTTTTTTTTTTACCTTTTTATTTTTGTTTAAAAATAAACAACAAAATTGGCAATCAGGAATATTAATTGGAGTGGCAATTTCTTGCTTATCAGAAGACTACCAACCGTAAAATTAAAAAAATAAAGAATAAATTTTAAATTTTGAGAAAATAAGACCCTTCTGGAAACATAACATATGCCGCCAAGGATCTACATCTCAAAGGAGGGAGTATGTACCACAGGATTTAAAGCTGTAAAAGATCACATTACTGCAATGCTGAGTGTTAACACCAGTGCAGACCTGAAATAAAAACCAGTTGTGGTTTATCACTGACAATCCATAAGCTTTAAAAGGAATTTGAATTCTATTCTTGGTGTTCATATCAGATCTAGTAAGAAAGGTTGGATGACTGGAAAGATCTTTACAGAAATGATATAAAAAAATTTTTTATCATTTAGCAGTCATATCACTTATTTTCTATTTATATCTACAATAAACTGTTAATGAAAATAAACATGTTGACAGAAATAAAATGAAAGATGTAAGAGGAAAAACAAAATGTTTGAGATGATACTTTCTAAACTGCATACTGGTGTCATGTTTTTAATGGCCACTTTGGAGGTGTGGGTTAGGCAAAGATTATTTCTGTTCTATCAATATTTTGCAGAGTATGTTCCAATGTGAGTTTCTGAAAGAAATTATGGTTTTTTAAATTATCTATTTATCACCTTACCATCTTTTCAATGCCATCAAGTTCAAAAGGTCTATCCACAATATCAAAATTATTACAACAAATAAATAATTTAATTATCAACCAGTAACAGAATGACTTGATAAATATTTGAGTATCAATAACTAATTTACGTTAACATTTAGACAAAATTGGACTGTGTTGTTTGCTAAACTGGATGTGAATATTTGGATCTGTAAATTTCAGTGATTATTGTTTGGGAAACATTTAAAATATAAAAAGATGTGCTGTGCATATCTAAATTAAAATAAAATTTGAAAATAAATTAGTGAACTTTAGTTCAATGATTTATTTTCAAATTTTGTTATTTTAAAAATTTTGATCTTTCAAAATTAAGAAAAGTATTTAATTATGACTTGTATGTAAAACATAAAAAAATGTATTATAAATTTTTAAAAATTTATTAATTAGCTATCTTAAATCAGTAAACATTATTAATTATTCACAATATTAAATATACAGTATACTTCATACAGAAAATTAAATCAAATTAAAATATTTCAAAAATAATTACTTTGAGTTCCAATTTTAAATGGCGTACAAGACATCGATGTGCAGCTTTTTGAGTATTTGAAACTGTTGGAACACTAGGATCTTCTAAAGGTGTCATTTTAACTGGATAATCTGGTGCAATAAATATAGGTATCTGTAAAAATAAAATTGGTTTTACAAAAATTCTTATAAAATTTAAAAATATTTAATAATCTAAAAAGTAATAGTCTTAACTAGCCAACCAAATAGAAACCTTACAATATAATTAAGATTAAAGTTTATAAAATATTAAGATAACTTTCTTATCTAGACATGTTTAACTTTACATAAAGATAAAAAATTTATTATCTCTAAAGCTAAGCACATTCAATTATAATAGTATAAGAACATAAAATTTTAAGAAATAAAAATACGCAAGCTTATTATTTTTGAATTATTTTTGTTTTCTAAAATGCATTTTATACTTGTACCATATAATATTTAAATAAGATAATATTCATCATTGTCTTTTTATAAATTTCTTTGTGTTTCAACCACAATTTCCTAAGCCTAAATTGAATCGTTTGATCATTTAATAGGTGATTTAAACTTCAGTCAATCAGCTTTTCAAAGTTAGCATCCACAACCTACAAAGTTTCCCTATGTTAAGAATACACTGGCTCCACTAATATGAACACAAACAAGTACAAATAAAAAGTTTTCATCCTACTAGAAAACCTTTAAACTTCTCAATAACTAATGTTCCAAAAGAAAAAATAATAATAATACAAAATACAAATCAATCCAAATTTAAAAATTGGATGCATTCTCATTCTGAACATATTCTCTATTAAAAAACATAAAATATTCAATTCTTTTGGGATTTATTACTGACAATCCTAAAAATGATAAATTTTAAAATTAATAAAAGAATTTTGTTTCTAGAGATGCTTTACTCTTCCTATATAAGAACTTTTATATANAAAAATTGCAAAGGGTTAAGACTAGTGAATGTATGGGATATTTCAAAACTTCTACTCTAACTGTAATATTGGCTGTCTAGCATTATCACAATGCAAAAACCACTTCACATTAACCAGTACTGGATATTTTTCATGAAAGACATGACCAAGTTTTTTCTAAGAATCTTAGTGTATCCTCAAGGTACAAAATTGTATTTGCACATTGTGTACTTCAAGGAATACAGATAAAACAAAAACCATTTGAGAAACATAGTTCTTGTTTCAAAATAATTGTCAATGACAAACTATTAATAAAGGATGTACAAATGAAATCAACATGACAGGACCTGATCAGCACCTATGGAGGCTGGCAACTGACACTCTTTCTCAAAAGATTGTGTAGAAAAAAATGTGGGAATAATCCTAGAAATTAAATGATGCATATTTTAATCTATTTTTATTTTTAAAAATATTACATACTTTTCCAAGAACACCAGGCTCATCAGCAGCTACTGTGAGAGAACATTCTCTTCTTTTTGCTTTTTCTAATTTAGTTTTGGCCACATGGCATTTTTCAATAGTTGCATTAATCTGAAGAATCTGAAAAGTAAATTAAATTAACATAATAATTAAACAGTTAAAAAAATCTTATATTATTGTTCAATGCTTTTAACAATACGGATTTTTTTACTTGATTAAAATTTTCAATTTAACAACTGTAAATAATAAAGATGAAAATATCACACCTACAAAACAAATTAGATAGATATAGAAAGTTGCACTTTGATATTAATAAGTGTTCTGTCCAATTCTTTTTCAGGCTATCAGAAATTTCCTATGATTTCTGTGTTTAGAAAATGCTATTGATTGACAAATCAATATAATTAAATAATAATTATGCTTATACACAAAACATATACAGTTTAAATAATTAAGGAATANCTATGTTAAATTCTAGTTTACTCTTCTAAATTCATGTTTTTTGTTTGTAACTATTCATAGAATGATTCAGATGATATAAAAGATTTTTACAGAATAGTGTTAATCATCATCAATCATTTTCTACATATTTAATGATTGCATTCTTAGAAATGTAGTTTTGCCAAATATTTTTTTTTATTTAAAAAATTTGCTATATGCATTTCAATCAAACTGAATTTAAATTTACAAAAATAATTTCATAATGATAAAGTTGCTCTAACAATAATTAGAAGTGTAAAGATTTGTAAATATTTTATAATGTGGAAAGTTAAGTTCTGTTATTTATTTCTATACTTTTTAAAATGCTGAAGATGTTAAACTTTTATGTAAATGAAAGATTTAACTGTTTTATTGGATTTTTATTGTTGTTGAATTCAGCAAATGCTAAAATTAACAATATTTTTTACTAATACTAATACAATTTTTCATTTTAATGCTTATGTTTTATTCACTTACATAAAAAAAAAATCAAGTCTAATCATTCTTTTTTAGTTGTAATTTTCAATAATAAATACCTAAGCAATATCAAAGAATTAAATTTTCTTAATTTAAAATAGCTATTCAAACCTCTTCATTTATTATGCAATCAATTTCATACAATTATAAAATATCTTATTTATAAATGTTTTATATTATTTATATATAAACAGTTTAAAGTCATCTGGTTAATGATAAAATAAAATTATAACAATAAATTTTGCAACAAATATTAATTGCTTGATAACTTCATGATGGTTCTGTAAGTTTTACTATTAGATGGAAAAAGCAAATCAAAGTACATCTATTGAAATTTTTTTAGTGCTTAAGTCAAAACAATAATCAATCTCACACCTTATATCTTTCACCAATACTTTATTCAAAAACACTTTTGGCCTAGTTTAAGGACCTGCTTCAGGTTCTACACATTTGAATTGAATGGTTTACTGAGTGTTTCCTGAGTTTGCTGGAGGACAAGGAAGGTGTAGGATTAATTATTGTTAGAATAAGTTCTAGCTTTGAATGACACATTGCTCCTTTCTTTTGACTTATACTGTTTATACTAGTAAATGTATAATTTTGGCTGATTTATAAACTAAAATCTTTGATTAATTTTCATATAATACCCTATTCCCATGGTGACAGTCCATGCAATGTTTCAGAAGCTTTTATTTTCAAAATTTTATGTATCATCCACTGTTACATATTGACTAGGGAATATATAGAGAAACCATCATATAACTCAATTTCACTGCCTCCAGCAATAGAAAATCCTTAAAGGATGTACTCTCATAGCATGCGATCAGTTACTGAAATCAGTGTTCTAATCTTGTGAAATTTTTCACGATTAGAGAATTTTTGTATTTTTCAATCAAATACAGTTTATTTTCAAGGAATATTTGTTAGTAGATATGCATAATCACTGCTTTAGACAAGGTCTGAAATATAAAAATAAAGTTGTTACTGAAGTCTACTATTAGTGAACATTAAGAGATATGTGATGAGGATGCTGATGAAGGGGATATGTTATCAATAAACTAATCACAATTTCATAATAATGGTAGTGCCTGAAATTCTGATAGTTTTCAAGAAATGTAATGTGAATGTAAAAGTGATTTGAAATAAAACAGTTGTTTGTACCAGAAATCATTGAAGAATTTAAATTAAATTTTTTGCATGTTAGTCTATTCTTGAACATAGTCCATACATTCTGATTACACATAACTTTTAATAAATAGTCCACAGTCTATCACCACAGGAATAAAATAATTATTTTGCAATTAGAATAATAATAAATTAATGTTCCTTAATTAATATTACTAACTTGTGAACTTGTAAGAGAAGGCTGATTATCAGCTTCATAAAAGAACTGAATAACATAATTTCCAGACATTTCAGGTGCTTTCTTTCCACTAAAAATAAAAATATTAAACCGATATTAATACTTATTATTACAAATTAATTTAAATTGATTAATACTAATTGTTAATATTTTCATTTCATTTAAATTTTGAATTTCTAATGCATCCTTCATATTATCTTTTCAATAAAATTTCTTAGAAAAACAAAATTTTAAATCAAAACTATTTATCTTTTTCATATAAACTTATAATTTATTTTATGATGTCAAGGTTGATGTATAATGAAATGTTATTAAAAAAAAATGGTTCCATACATATAAGAATTTAGTTAATTTTAATCAGGTGAAAAAATTAGGAATGAATTTAATGATATTAATAGTTTTATTACTAAAAATAAGATGTAAAAAAAAAACTTGTGAAATTATATAAACAACTACAATATAAGCTTTACCATTTAAAGTTTTTAAATTATTCATCTTTTAATGTGGCTAATAAATATAATAAAATATTTTGAAAATACAAATAAAATTTATAAACACAAATAATTCTACTTCTAGAGTTTAAAATAATAATAATAATATAATAATAATAATAATAAAAGCTATGTTAAATTCTAGTTTACTCTTCTAAATTCATGTTTTTTGTTTGTAACTATTCATAGAATGATTCAGATGATATAAAAGATTTTTACAGAATAGTGTTAATCATCATCAATCATTTTCTACATATTTAATGATTGCATTCTTAGAAATGTAGTTTTGCCAAATATTTTTTTTTATTTAAAAAATTTGCTATATGCATTTCAATCAAACTGAATTTAAATTTACAAAAATAATTTCATAATGATAAAGTTGCTCTAACAATAATTAGAAGTGTAAAGATTTGTAAATATTTTATAATGTGGAAAGTTAAGTTCTGTTATTTATTTCTATACTTTTTAAAATGCTGAAGATGTTAAACTTTTATGTAAATGAAAGATTTAACTGTTTTATTGGATTTTTATTGTTGTTGAATTCAGCAAATGCTAAAATTAACAATATTTTTTACTAATACTAATACAATTTTTCATTTTAATGCTTATGTTTTATTCACTTACATAAAAAAAAAATCAAGTCTAATCATTCTTTTTTAGTTGTAATTTTCAATAATAAATACCTTAGCAATAACATCAAATTCTTTCTGAATTTAATGTATAAATAAAATTTATTACATACAAAAATAACATTAAATTTAATTTTTGCCTTTATGAAAATTAATATTTATAAATAATTTTTAATTTGGTTTTCTATTTGCATCTCTGTTAAATAAAAAATTGTGAAGACAAAACACAGATAATTTCTTCATAATAATTGTCATTAAATATATAAATTCTAATGACACAAATCATATCCACTAAAAAAGTAAACAAAAATCAAACTATTCATTACTTCTAAATCTATTTCCTTTCTTTCTTTTTTAATCTTTGAAACTACTAACATTTTTAACTTGATATATTTTTAGAGTATAGAGTATATTTTCCTTACACTTGCATGTGCGCGCACGCACACACACTTAATCCATAAATGATATACTTTAAAGTAGTGATGAGCAATCTTTTCTGGATGCAGATCACAAGTGAATTTCATAAGCTTCTGGTGGGCTGCATGCATTTTTTCTTACAAAGCTTGCAACTTTGTAAAAAAAAAAACTTGCTGAGTACAAACATACTCCATAACCTCCAGTATCCTAAGTTTTAAAATAATATATACTAAAGATATGCAAACTATCCTTAGTAATATATAATTTATTTTCATCTTTTCACCTGTCATGTTTAGTTTGAATGTTCTTCATCATGAATATCAGCTTAATTATGGTTGCATAATGGCAGAAGGCAGAAAACAGAAAAAAATTACATTGCCAAAGCCCCAGGGTCTAATATGTGGATATTAGGACCTTATAGGCTGCAGGTTGCTCATGACTGTCTTAAGAGATTAACTGATGCAAAATTTTTTAAAATGTTAAATATATAAATTTTAAATGTTTACCGAAAACGAAATGTTCCTGCTAAATCTCTGGGATTCATATCTGGAACAAATATAAATGGCTGAAGAAAAAATATAACATTAATCAAAATTAGTATATTATATATTTAATCATCATATTCTAAATAAATCATCATATTCTACATTCAAAATATTAATTTAAATAATTTTTTAAAGTATTTATCAATACATGAGAAATATTTGTTACTGATTTAACAACTGAACATTTTAAAGAATATATCAAGAGAAAAATTTTATTTGATTAAAATATTTTGAATAATATATAATATAACCTAACAAAATCATCATTTATAATAAACTTAAGTATAACTGAATTAAATATATACACACAATAAACTTTTGATTAAACTATAACCTTGGATTTTATAAATTTTACAACAAAAGATTTTGGATGCTTTAGATATTTGATATATGCTAAATCATTTTGCATATAATTTATTTTAAAAAGATCATAAACACTGTAAGAAAAAGAAGAGTATTTCCTACTAGCAAGACATATATTGGAGACTTTTGAAAAAAACTTAAAATCATTTAAATACTCTACAAAAATAAACAATAATTTTTCTTTATATTAAACACACAAAAAAGTGTTTATTAGTTATTTACTAAATTTCTATAAAATGGCAATGAAATTTTAGCAAATTCAGGCTAATGAACTGGCTAAGTAGTATCGTAGAAGTTGGGTCAAAACATGTCCACATGCAGCTTGAGAAAACACCTTTGCTTCTTTTTCTCTCATATTCTTCATCTGTAATGGCAGGGATCCTTCCACATACTGAAACTCCATTTTTCCTACAACAAATAACTTATAGGCAAAGTGTCCATAGCATTTTGTTTTCACTTGCTGTTTTATGTTTTGTTCACCATAGCATAGATTAATAGTGAAGTGTGTCATTGGGGTGTTTCAGTTGAGAAGTAAAAGCAAAGAAATGTCACAAAAAAGTGCAGGAGTGAAAAGAAAGAGAGTTGATCATTGTTGAAAGACTTGCAAATGGCAAATCTCCAGCAAAACTGACTTCAGAATTTAACGTAGATGTTTAAACCATTCAGGATATCATTCACAAGAAAGATAAACTGCATAAATTTGTGACTTCATCCGACACATTTAATGATATGGCAAAAAGGAAGTTAACAAAGGAGTCACTTATCTGTACTTTTATTAATTATCCAGAAAAGCAGTCCCAGTCATTAGACCAAATAACTGTGGTTTTACTGTATTTGGTGCAGTCTTTTTATAATCAGCCAAAGACTGCACCAGAGTAAAATTTCATAAAAATGTTTCTACTGATGACAGCAATCATAATAAGCTATGATCTCATTCCAGGGGTGTAGCCATGGTGAAGTGGGGTTCATTTAGTCAAATGAAAAATTACAGGTCAATAGGTTATAACAGTATTGCATGGCAAGAAAGCATGTTTGAATCATGGAGGGTAGATGCTATCATGTTAGTCAGTGATGTGAGCGCTCTCTGGTGAACAAGTGGGGAACTGGTGGTTCAAGGTTTGAATGGTCTGTGGTAAGACTCGAAGATTATAGGATGTTTGAGGTTTGGATTTAGCTGGAAAGTTTTAGTACCTTCTGTTCTCTATTTAAGTGTTGCAATCAATGTGAGTCAGTCAGTTGAGTGAGTTTGAATTTGAGCTTGTTCAGAACATACTGTGAGCAAGGTTTATTTGAAATGTCATTGCGTCCATGTGCAATACTAGATTTCTAACGCCATTTAAAATTAATAAGTGCTGTATTTACTTCTATTGTATGTTGTAAGTATAATAAATCCATTAATGTTTTTTGCACATTTATTTAATTTTTGGACTGCAATCCCATAACAATAGCAATCTAAAATGGATATTAGAAACTTTTTTAGCATGAAAAGTATGTATCTATATTATTTTCATTTGAGTTAATGAGTTGCAAAACAATCTAATTAAAGCAACCTAAAATCTCCAGGAAATGCAAAGAATTGCTTTTTATTTGTAATAGTGATTTTGATGTCTTTATTGAAATTTTAAGAAAATTCATACAATACTAAATAAGGAAATAATAATAAGTATATCACACTCCAATAATTTTAAATAACGATTGAAAATTGTAATTAGTTACTTTTGCAGCAGTTTTGCTTAATTAGATGTTTTGAAATAGCTGATTTTGCAACTAGCTACTTCTGCTAGATGCAAATAATAAAACAAATTTGTACAAAATATTAAAGGTTTTTTAAAGGTTGAAGTATCTAGTGTAGAGAGTCTGTTCAAAAGCTTAAATTCTTAGTTCTTTTAATTTTTTTGGAAAGTGTAGTAGTAGTTATTTATTTTCTTTTAGGAAGACAGAAGAGGAAGCAACCAGTTAAAAGTAGTAGTGAAAGTGATAGCAACAGAGAGGAGAAATCGAAGCAGAATGTTGGCGCTTGCACAACTGCACCTACACCTATTATTGTTTTAAGTGCATCAAGTGGACCTTCACTACCATCTGGTTCTGGGCACAGGATCAAATGTATTTTGATAATAATGTGGGTCACTGTCTTGGATGTTCGTTTAGTATGACCTTATCTCAAAAAATGGAAGTTTTAAAAAACTTTTGCTCACCAACTCCAGGTTATGACTTTGCTAAGGATGCTGTGCAATTAAAAAGAAAATTCAAATACAACTGGTTAGTGGATTATGTTCCTTGGTTGGCATATTCCAAGAAATTAAAGGGCACATTCTGCATTTACTGTGTGTTGTTTCCACCAAGTAATGTGCATGGTATTTTGGGTTCTTTCATAGTGAGGCACTATACTCACTATAAAGACATGCAATTTGCGAATTCTCACACATCATCTCATTGACACAAATTGGCGGCCACAGCAGCAAAATGTTTTGTTGAAAATATACCTGTTGATATACAGTTGATTTCTGTCCACCAACAGAAATAAATAGAATCCAACAAGAAAATTGTTGCATCAATAATTTTGACTGTGATGTTTTGTGGTACACATGACCTACTTTTGAGAGGCAAAGAACATCATGAAGATGTTTTTGAAGACTTGATCAAACTCAAAACTGATGCTGGTGACCACATTTTAAAAAAAACACGTAGAAAAGGGCACAAAAAATGCCACTTACATGTCACCACAGATTCAAAATGAAATAATCTGCCTATGTGGTGATATCATTAGAGACATCAGTACTGACATAAAGAAAGCATGTACTTACAGTATCCTGGCAGATGAGAGCAGTGACATATCAGGGAAAGAGCAACTTTCCATAGGGGTTAGATTTTTTGACAAAGAAAAGATGATGGTTCGTGAGGAATTTCTAGGTTTTGTAGAGTTGACTGACATGGATGCAAAATCTAGCATCTTCAATTAACAACTTTGTAGAAAAGGTATGCCTTGATCCAGAAAAGTGTATCCCAAAAAAAAAAAAAAAAAAATACAATGGGTGTTCCACTATGGCAGGAAATGATGGTGGTGTCCAAAAATTATTTGAGAAAAGTATACGAGAGCATTATATTTTCACTGTGCTAGTCACAAACTGAACTTAGTTGTAAATGACTTAAATGAAATAGCAGTGATATGAAATACGGCCTCCACAATAAAAGAAATACAGTAGAGAGTCGTTTATCCGAATCAATTGGGGGACTGGTGTTGTTCGGATAACTTATTTTTCGGATAACCAATTATGTACGAAAAAATATATTAATTTATCCCGTGTTAAAATTTTTCTCTGTTGCGTGTCGCTTCTCGTTGAATTTTCGTCGATGTTAAGCCTAACGAAGACTATTGTATCGTTAAAAATTATTTTTTTATTTTGTACAAACAAAATAAATATATTGAAAAATATAAAAACAATAAAAAATTATACTTCAGAAGTTAATTTAGTATCAAAAACGTAAAATATTTGAGTAGCCGAAGACATAGCCAAAGATTACAGCACCACAGCACTGGCGAAAATTTAAATTTGTCGACTGGAATTCCTTCGGATAAACAACGCTCTACTGTAATAAGATTCCTCCGAGAAGCGGCCCTTCATTGAAATAGCATACCAAATATACCAATGCCCTGTGAAACTTGTTGGTCTCAAAAATATAAAAGTATTGCCACATTCAAGAAACATTATGTACAAACTGTTATGGCGCTTGAAAAACTATCAATAGACGGTAGCAATGCAATGAGAAAAGCTGCTTTTCAAATGCACTGCACTGCTACAAAATCAGAATTCGTTGTTAGCATTTGTCTCATAGCAAAATATTCAGCACTGCTGCAACTGGTGGTAAATGCTCTTCAGTCAAAAAGTGTGGACCTACTTCAATGTGCAAATCACATAAAAAATCACAGACATCATGAGAAAACACAGTGGAAATATGGTTGCTGAAAGTCAAAGTGTTATTGCAGAGGCTAAAACAATCACCGAGCATCTTGGAACAGATTTCAATATGCTGCAAGTCATAAATCATCAGAAACATCATGCAAATCCACCAGCACAGACTCCTAGCAAGTTATGGAGAAGATCACTAATTATTCCATACATAGATTCATTAATAATGTTTCTGGAACAGTGTTTTTCTGAGGAGAACTTGTCCACATTCTTATTACTTATGTTGCATCCTCACACAATGCTTGATATAATGTATGAGGATTTTTAAAAAAAAACTACAATTTGAATGATTTCCTCAGTGAAGCTGAACTTTGGTACAACCAATGGAAAGGTAAAAAGGTGCCAAATGCCAAACTGAAGGAGATACAACTAGCTGCATTAGTTAAAGAAATGCAATTGTTCTACCCATCTATAAAACAGGCATTGCTTATCTCACTTGCACAGCCCTGCACTATTGAAAGATCCTTCAGCACCTTACGCAGGATTTTTACCCTGCTTAAGGTGCTAAAGGATCTTTCATATGTCACTTAGATACGGTCAACAATGACAGAAATCAGTTTGTTGGTCTTTATATGATGAATGTGCATAAAAAGAGGGTTCTGGAAGCTAAAAATAAATTTGAGAAAGAAATTTTGATGAGATTTAGCCAGAACTCCCATAGGTTAGTGCTGAAATAAGATTTAGATAGT